ATATTTTATGTAGACATACACACATATTTTTCAACTAAATTCTTTCTTTAGGTGTAATTTTGGTACTTTTAATAGCTTTGCTAGTAACAAAGAAGATATAAAATATATGTCAGCTGAATATTGGTATTGGAATTGATCCATGTTGGCTATATCCCATCCATATTGATAATGGGATATTAACAATCTTTGGTACAGAAACAAATAAAAAATGAATAGTATCAGCACTGGCTATCAGCCAAATTGTTATTGTAAACATTGCCAGTGGTGTCAACCAATTGAGCAATTAACTAAATATCAGACTTCTTGTTTATATTAAAAACATATATTTTAGGTTGGCCAGCACTGCCAGAAATATGTGATAAAATTGTAGTTTCAAACAATGTTTCCAAATTATTGCATATAGCAATTAGAGTAATCCTTTTTCTGTTTTAGGCCTCACGTATTGGCGTCTGAATGAGTGTGATCTCTATCACCCACTACCTGAAAGCTTTGACAGTGGTGCCTATCTACTTCTGCAAGAGGCATCCATGAGTCTGGTGAGTTACGTTACGGTTTACTGTGGCTTCTGAGACTGATATAAAATACATGGTTTGCTTATAATGCGGAGGTTTGATGCCTAATTTGGTCTTCTTTAGACTCCGGGAAGCCAGGAACCTCAGCTGTCTCTCAGAGAGATCTATCAGAACAAGCAAAGAGCAGATTGTAAGCGTTCAGATTGGGAAGGCTCTGCTACTTCTTTTCCGTTGTCACCGCAGGTATGTCACATGATGCAAACTCTGCAATCCCAAGATTGTAGAAGTGATTTACAGAAGATAGATAATGACACGATAAAACATTAATTATTAAAAAATATAATATTTTTAAAAATATAACTGACTGGTGACGTGTTAATCTTGTAATCTTGTAATAAATTTTACATCCACAAGTTTAAATTTTCTTACAATTTGTATTTTTGTGCTTCAGATGTTGACACTGGATCCAGCAGCTAACATGCGGCAGTCAGATCGCACCTCTGGCTTCACTTCACCCTCTCATTTCAGCAGCCCATCATTTGCCAATCAGCCCCACCGCTACCCTAGAGTCGGGACCCCCATAACCCCTGACAGCATGGTGGATTGCAGCCCCAACCCTGGAGATACAGACTGTATCTCTGATACCTCCAGTGTCTCTGCCCCATCTAAAGTGCAAAGCCCATGGGGAAATACAACCCAATTCCTGTCTACCTCCCAACATAAGGCTCAGCCCTCCCAAACAGACAGCCATCAGCGCAGAGCCAGTGCTCCGTTAGCCAGCGAAGAGGAGGGTAGTCACACCCACACCAGCACCCTGAAGCCTTGTTCAGCCTCTGGTGCTTCTCTGCGACATGGAGTCAGTCCACACATGGAAAGAGCATCATCACTAGAGGATCCTGTTGTCCTCTCTCTGTACGTACATATGTTATAATGTATAATGTTCTGCTCAACCATTTTGTTGAGCACATTTTGAGTCCCTATATCTTTCCAAAAAAATGCACTGATATTAACTTTAACTTTTCTATCACTTGTTTTTGATATGTTATTCTCAAACAATCCACTGAGTGTCGATCTGTCTTTGAGTGGTAGATCTTTTCAGTTTCCGTTAGCAACGCCACAGGAAAGCTAGAAACGCTCTGTATGGTGAAATTTTTTTAAAGTTGGGTGTTTTTTTTTTGGGGGGGCATGACATAACGTTAGAGACTTGATTGAACAGAATTAAATAACATGAAAATGAAAAAAAGTTTTATATGTGTCAAATAATAATAAAAAAAAAACCCCAAAATAATTTCTAAGAACATCTACTCTAATGCTTGATTTGGCCCTTTATGGTAAATGTTGACCTGAAGCTAAAGAACTGAAAATGTCTGTTTATAAAGTATAAACGATTAGTATTTGAACAATATGAATCTCTAAAGACATCAAATAAATCCAAAATACTGCCAAACACTATTAGCACTTTAGCTACACTTCATGTTTTCTGTCTAGAGGACCTGAAATAAGGACATGGCAGGTCATGTGTTTCATAGGACCCAGAGCCAGTGAACAGAAATCTCATGTTTAATAGCTTCATTTCATAACAAGATTGATTATGTTAGCACATATTTAAAACTTTTTACCTTTGAGGTTGGTTATAGTTCCCCTTTTATTCCTTTATTTACAGGTGAGTATAATCGTTTCTGGCACTGTCCAAGAGGCTTTAGCCAGCCCCAAAAGGAAAGCTGCTCTCATTCCTATTTATTGCTTCTTTTTTTTCCCATTATCTCTTTGTACTTGTAAAAGTGGAGGTATGTATTTGTGATTATCAGAAAGTCAGAAGTAATGGATAAATAAGGTAACAGATGAATTCGCTTCACTTTGCATCGTGATCACATTACCATGCCCAGTCACCTCCCAGAGAACCAAAAACTACTTCAAGTGCTGTGAATAAAGTAACATTACACATGACCAATCTTCTTTAAAAAAGTTTAGTTTTTCTTCTCCTGTTTTTCAGACTAAGGCAGAACCTGAGAGAGAAGCATTCTCGGCATGTGGCTGACCTGAAAGAATATTATGAGTCTGAGATCCAAACCCTGCGAGACAAACTCAAGCTCAGAGATCTGCCCCAGGATTTAGAGAAGAGCAACCATGTGCTCACAGAAAGGTTTGCATTTATGGACTATATTTTCAGTTAAAATATTATTGTTCATTATATTGAGTTGGAGTAAAAAAAATTTGTTTTATATGTACAAGAAAAATAAGCAGGGATGTTACAGTTAAATGTAGAACCAAATCACAGTCCCCCCCAGCGGGTTAACAGTCACTTTTGGTTAGGAATAGCCAATAAGTGAACTGTTGTTTTTGATGTCAAGGGGTTCAAAAGTTTAACACATTTCTACATCTGTCAGTGCATTAACAATAGGGGACATTAAAATAGGTACTCAATTTAGGATGATGCAAAGTTGTGGTTAAGATGCTGAAATTAAAGGGGAAAAGGTGTCAAATCAAACTTGAATGATATTGAATTCATATTCTGAAATACCAAGATGCATAAAATCCCGTAGTATTGCTTTTTAGATTATTTTTATGCTTTCATTGTTTATTGCTATTTATTTACAGGTGCAGGCATCTAGAACAGGCTTTGGCTGAGGCCACCACCCGTATTCAAGAACTAGAGGCAACAAACAGCTCACTGGAAAAAAAGCTGGTATGCTTTGCTATTTATTTTATATCATTTTTACCCCTTAGCCGTAAAAAGCTGATGTGGTATTGTCATCACCCAGCAGGGGACATGGACACCCAAGTTGTAAATGCAATAACTCGTTAACCAAGGAACATAGAAGTTTCAAATTGATACCATAGGTACACTACTATTCTCAACAAGTTTGGTCATAGGTCAAATTTTTTGAAAATCTTGTGAATGCATTTATATTTATTGGGTTTCAATTAGAATGTCTTTTTAATTTGTCACTTCATCAAGGATGTTTTCTAAAAATATGTCAATGGCTATGAAAGTAATCTTTATTCCATATCTTCATTTTGATGTCCTTTTTTTGTCATTAGGCAGAATGGCCGGAGCGCTATGCTGTAGCAGGTGCCACTGTGAAATCTTTGCAACAGCGACTGGAAGAAAGCAAACATTCGGCCAAAGAAAAGGACGCCCTGGTGGCGCGTTTGAAGAACCGTCTACGGCAGCTGGAGGAGGCAGCACAGAAAGCCTGCAGAGAAGCAGATGAGAAGGAGGCCAGGAGGGAGAGAGAGTACAAGATGCTGCAGGATGTAAGTGTGAGAGAACAAAATGACATGAAGACATGATAACAGTCAGAAAACTGTCACATAAACATAAACATCCTCTTATTCACTGGATGCTGTTAGCATCAGTACTGAGGTATTTCCTTTAATCAGGCAAGTGCACTGTTGTTAATGGACTTGATAATTTGTGATAGTTTACTTTATCCGCAGTCAGCTAGCTCTAGGTGTTGAGGAATTAGTTTGCAGCTGAGGATGTATGTAAGAGTTTTAAGAGTGTTTTTTTTTCAAGGATGCACCAGTCAGGTTCATCTGATTACTATCTGCTCCAGTATTGATCATTTTAACCTCATGTTGGCTACAGCCAGATGTTCTCCAAAGCAGGGGAGTACAAGCAAAAGTCTTTCACTTTATAGTCTACATATAATTTTCGTGTAATACAGTTTCTGCCACTTTCATGACTGGTCTTTTGAAACACTGGACAGTGTAGTATCGGTAGATTTTTTTTAAAAACATAATTCTGAAAGTACTATTAAAAAATATTAAGTCTGTCACACAACACAGTTAGAGAACTATTTACACTCACATTCACACTTTTGGGCAATTTAGAATCACCAATGAACCTAACCCCACTAGGTGCATGCCTCTGGGCTGTGGGAGGAAACCAGAGTACCCAAGAGTAGAACATACAAACTCACACAGAAATGCCCTGGCTAGATGGTGGATTCGAACCCTCATATTTCTGCTGTGAAGCAACAGTACTAAAAACCATGTCACCATGCTGATCTAAAACAAAAAGTAATTGTATTTTTTGCATTTATTATCAAATTATAACATGTTATAAATCAAGCTCACATTATTATTTACAGAGGTGCACTTTTTGCACTAAAAACTAAACTCCCCATCAACCAACAGACTATGTGGCTAGATAACTTATGCGTAATCTATCTAACGGAACAAATGACATACTCCTTTAGATTTCATAAAGATGTATTCATTTAGTATTTAAACAATGAAGAGGCAGTGTTAGAAATTGGTGGGGTTTTTTGTTTTGTTTGTCTGATTTTTTTTTTAATATTATTTTAAAAAAGGACATTTGCCAGTGCTATAGTATGTATAGAGTGTTTAAAAATTAAGTTAAAAAAACCCAAACTATTAAATGACCCTGTGTTAGCCATCACATCCACCTCATTTTTCATTGATTTTAATATTGATTTTTCTTTTGTCTGAAGTATTGTCAGTACTACTGTCACATTCTCAGAATTTTGTATTAAGAGCAAAAAAATAAATCACTCTTTGTCAGAACTGCAGTAATGCTGGCGTCCAAGGTTAAGATGTCTGTGGTTTTGTTTCCTCAGCTGCTTGGAGAATATGATTCTCTGATAAAAGACCATGAAGGATTGAAGGTAATGATTCTCTCACTGAAATTTACATTTAAAAAATTACTGTGATTATTTGATTTGTTTGGCTTCATGGAGTTTCCCCATTTATTTATCTACAGAACAACCTGGTGTCAGCAGAGAATAGGCTTGTTGATTCCAATGATCAGATATCTGAATTAAAGAGGTGAGTGAAGAGAGTGACTATATGTGAGCTGGATCTAAAGGTTAAAAAGTCAAGACTACCAGCTTGTTTAAAGGTCACTTTAGGTCAAGGTCAAAATGTTACAGTGTTATTGGTCTCCGGCCTGTCAGTGTTTCATTGTCACTTGCTGGTTTGAGCATTTTTGTGAAAGGGCTGCAGTGGTGGGTGGTATTCAGCAGGGAGACGGAGAAAAGAATATTAATCGATAAAGCCTAATGATGATCCTGTTAAAAATAGATAATAGTGCTGGCCTCCAATGCTAGACAGCATTGTCTCCTTGCAGTTTCCCCGTTGCCTGCTAATTGATGCCTATAGAGGGAGCACATTGATAAAGTGTGCCAAGTCAACAATAAGAACAGATGGTAGTTATAAATTGGAGTACTTTAGCTTATCTGTTTTTGAGTTAATAACCTAAAGGGTAAGGCCTACATCAGCATCCACTGAAATAACATATGCCCTTGTGTGTAAAGAGACTTTGGGGAAACTAAGAAATGTTTTATTTTTTGAATACACAGAAGACTTTAAAAATAGAAAATGTGTAAGCTGCTCTAAGCGTCAAGGACTAATGGAGTCACAGTGCAAATGTTAATTACTATGATCTGTAAAACAGAAGAGCAAATTACAGCCCGGCCTTGATGGTTGAGAGAATTTTTCTTGCAAAATGTTGACATTAAAGAGGACCTAATATGCTCATTTCCATTTTCATATTTTTATTCTTGCACTGGACTAGAGTAATGTTGTATGACTCACAGTTCAAAATAATCCTACTTGAGCTTACAGAGATGTTGTACAGCCCCTCTGTCCATCCATTGTCTGAAGTAGCTGTCTGTTCATGTGATTGGTGGACCCTTGATTTAAAATTTAAAAAGCAGATGGGTGAAGCTGCTGTGTGTTTTATAGCCTCACAATAAGTACAATTTTTTTGGAATTTATTTACAGTCATATATTATCGTTTGCACTTATTAACATTGTTTGCTGTTTTCTGATCACAGCTACTGATTGCACATCTCCATCAGTCATTAAAGTAAACAGCCTTGTGCTGTGTAGTGAAAAAAGAAATAAATGAGCCAGCATGGCTTGTTGTACCTGCCTTTGAAATACTTCTATAACTCTTTGAATCTAAACAGCGTTGGTTTAGTTATTCCATGTGTATGTTTGTGATTAAACCCCTCAGAGTGATCTCTAAGCTGGAGTCTCAGGTGAAGCAGTTGGAGCATGAGAACCAGGCCAGGGCCCGTTATGTTTCCCACAGTAACATACAACCTTCTGGAGCTGGGTAAGCACAAAAAGTACTGAAATCCTTCACAAGGTGTAATCATTAATGTCAGGGACTCCACCCATTAAATAAAATCAGAATCTTTACCTGGTTTAAATTTGTTTGATTTCCTATCAAGGCCATCTTCTCTGATACATTTGACGAACAGAGGTGGTATTTTTAAAGCATTCCATGGACGTCCTGTTGAATGTGCCACTGTGATACCTTCTGGTCTCTGGACGACTATTTTTAGTGCTGCTATTTTTAGTCCCCTCTACATATGCCCTACTTATGTCCTTTCGCCACCTGGTTTGGCCACTTTCATTGATTATAATGTTGCAGGATGTGCTCTGCAAACATTTAGATGCTTCAGGACTGTACAGTAGAACTCCAATGTGATATGGAACAGATTTGATATGGGACTCTGTAACTGTTAATAAAACAGTGAGCATGCTCCTTTGTATTGATCGCCATCTTGGGTCTTTGACAATGTGAACTCTTCTACTGAAAATTCTTGTTTCAGATGTGGTTTTTGCTTTAAATTGCCAGGGTCACAAAACTTGATGATTTGAGTTTTGAAAAGCACAACCAGGAACATAGATTACGTGAATCTTTACTTTTTTTTACAATAAACAAAAGTATGCCATTAGAATAAGAATGATGAACTAATAACTAAAGATTTTCTTTAATGTTTTTAATCATCTCTCTCTTATTATATCTTTCCAATTTAAGCTCAAATATTTTGTAAGTGCAGTGCTTACAAGGGGTGTATAAACTGATGCGTGCCAAATTCTTAAGCTTTTAACGTGTCCACAGCCTTTTCCACCATCCGGACCTCCTGCTGTCACCCAGTAAAGGCAAAGCAGAGCCAGATGTCACCCACAGAACGTCTCCTCTTCTATCAGACCAGCTAAAAAGTGTCAGAAGACCTAATCAATCAACAGTCCACAAAAGGGCATCGTATCCATTAAATGATTATTCATCGGGAACAGGAAGCTCCGTGGACACCCCTTCAGCTGCTGGGAGCTGGAGGTGTGTTTCTGATTGTTGAGGATGTTTTTTTGTTTTGTTTAGTACAACTGTAAGTGATTTACAGAGATCTTCTCCAACAGGTGTGCATCTCCTCCAGAGTGTGAACAGTCTGTTCTTCAGATCAGACACCAGGAGCAGAGTGCTGGCCACCAGGAAGCTAGTCACAGAGAAGGATCCTGTGCCCTGACACCCATGATGAGGGCCCTGATAGAGCTGGAGGAGACTAAAGCCACAGATACCCGGGCACCCTGTAAGAACAGCTCCACCAACCATAGTATGACTCTCACTCACACATTTACAAAGGCCACTTTATACTGAGGGACTGTCTGAAATTCTAAGCAGCTAACCATGAAAAAAAATGTTCCTCAGTCCTGTAGCTTAAATCAGAAAGAGAGACTCCTGGAAAACAAGCTAATTGAGAAAAAATTAGAAATGATACAGCTGCTATATAGCCCAACATGTCAAACGAAGATTTGTGGCCAAACAGTTAGGTCAGACCTCAGTGTTGGTTTTACAAAAGCAGCTACAATTAAAAGGGGGTTACTTACTGTAATCATTCCTCTATTTAGTACACTTTCAGTACATGTGACAGAGGGAATGTTTTTTTCCCCCCCCCCATCTCCAGGCTGAATATGTTCACGTGTTTTGATATGGATGTTTATTTAATTTGTGGTGATTCACATTAAGTTCCAGGATTTTATTCTTTACTTTCAGGTCTTCTGTAGTCACTTGTCATTTCTTGCTTTTCTGTCTGGAGATGGCTCAGCTTATACCTTATTACACATCCTGTTGTTAAATCTTATACTGGATGCACTTTTTAAGCTGCTCTTGGATTATGTTTTATGTTTTTGTCTCTGTAGGGGTCAGTAGCCAGAGAACCACTGTTGGGTTTGTGGAGAGGAGATACAAAGAGCCAATTCAGGAGCGCGCTGGGCTTCTTCACAGAGAGAAGGAGTTGGTTAAACCTCGAGGAGTTGTGGCTGGAGCTGAACATGGAGGATCGAAAAGTCGCAGTGGAGCAGAAAGAGCTGCTGCTCTGCTAAGAGCTCAGAGGAGTCTGTCTCCAGAGGGCCACAGATCCTCCTCACTGCCTCCTCCAGCACACCGAAGCATACCCACAGCTACACCCAGTAAGAGCTTCCAGTCATTCTACCTCCATTTAGGGGTGACGGTGGCTCAGGTTGTAGAGCAGGTCACCTACTAAATGGAAGGTTCAACCCCCGTCTACTCCAGTCTGCATGCCAAATAGCCTTGGGCAAGATAAGAACCCCAAGTTGCTCTCCGATTCATCCATTGGAGTATAATTCTGTGTGAATGTTGGATAGAAAGCACTCACATAGAAAAACATATATGAATCAGGCAAGTTGTATTTAGCGAGTGCTCAGAGTAGAAAACAACAAATATAAGAACAGTTACCATTTAAAGAGGAATCAAAAAATGAGTAAAATTGAGTGTCTTGTTTAATATTTTTTGGTATGACTTAAGATATTTATACTGTGTCTGAACTTTATGGTAGCAATCAGATGGCTTAGTTGCCTTTGTTTTCTGTATTGGCTTCACTACTTGCTGCTATAATTGGTTGACTGGTATTGTGATTACTGTAATAAGTTGTACACTGCTGGAGTCCACTGTTTGTCTGTAATTTGAATTACTTTCATTAATTGGAAACACAAAACACAAAGACATTGTTGTTGGCTCTGTCTCCTGTGACACACTCAGTGTGATAGTGTTAATAGGGCTGTGTGAGCTTTACTTAGTGGTACGCTCTTTTCTTCCATTCAGCAAAGAGGGAAACGTTACTCATGCCTCTGTCTGCGAAGTCCAGCCCTAAACGCAGCCCGACTGAAAATTACTCCACTGCTTTTGGTCACCCAATGCCAAGAGAGGAATACCTTCTCCACAGGTAAGAAACATACATCACATTACCTTGTATTGTTGCGCAAGTTCTCCGTAAGCCGTGTTTGAACAGCATTAACATTACAGGGAGAGGGGGAATTAAGTATTCACTGTGCTTCACAATATTTTAACTAGTGATTCTTTATTTTAAACCATCTAGAAATAACATAATATGAGCTCTCCCATATGGGCACGTTTTTACATGACCTGAACTTTCTTTATGTGCCAAAATTGATGTCACAAAAAGAGCACAACAAAATAATTCAAAAAAGATCTCAATAAATGAAAACCTAAATAAAAACAATAAAATAAGTTATTCTGCATCTGTCCTTAAGTCAGTGGAGTTGAAACAGATATTAGGGAAAGTGTTCTGCTGCCTGTGCAGTGAGCTGTACTGAGGTTACACAGTTTATTTTCTATATCCATTCATTATACATTCACTACCCGCCTTTTAAGTCTGATGTCATTAGCTGTTTCTGGGTCCAAACTCCTCTTCAGTTCCCAAACTCAAACAAATACTGTGGCATCACAGAGTTAAAAACTGTCGAAATTCCTTCATCTTTAACAAAATGATCAGTGTGGCAGTTCTACTAGGTGTAACAAAGTGTAACATCCAGGCGTCCATGAAAATAGGATTTCTAAAGTTTAAAAGAGTTAGAAGTTAGCAGGGAGTTAGCTTGCTAGTTTCTATTTAAAGGTGATATACCATATTCTGACTGAAGGATTTCTGAAAAATTAAAACATAAAGCTCTACTATCACTTATCACATAAATGAAGACAGAAAACTAAACAGCAGTGATGATTGTAGGGGTACTGAAGTTGGGGCTAGCTGGAATATGCTATGGTTAGGATGATATAAATACATTAGCACAGTAAAGCTGGAGGATGAACACTATTTCCCCCTCATTAGAAGGTAACGTGAGGGTCCCCGATGGCTAGAGACAAATGCAATCACATGGCAGATAAAAGACGCTGAAAACGGGCCAAACTGAGATAATCCATTCACAATATGAAGTTAGTCATGTGAGGCCGACAGTGATCGCTGACTGTTCAGATTAAGCAGAACAAGATACAAAGCATTAAAACGTGTTAAAAAGACAACAGCTTTTATAATCCCAATGTAGTTTGGACCCCGAAGCAGGGTTCATATGTCATCACTTAACAACCGGATAGCCACAGTGATTCTCTGATACTTTCCTCTGGGAAGTAATATGGATGTATTTTACAGCCTGTAGGTCAATACTCAGGCCACAGAAAAGTCCCATTGCAGTAACCTGTCTGGTGTTGCACCATTTTTCTCAAGTGGTGCAGTCTCTGTACATTTCTTTGTGCTACTCGGATTAATATGACTATCATTCAAAATGTTCTGAAGCCAGGTACAGTCATAATGTGGTCTGGGAAGCAAGTGTAAGATCTGTATGAAACACATCAAACTACACTCAATATGTTCCCTTTGGGTCCTAAATTGAGCTCACCAAACCAAATGATAGTTGGAATACTGGAAAAAAAAATTTCACTGCTACTACACAGTGGCAGGCTAAAAAAAAAGAAAACAAAAAAACCCCCAAAGCCAAATGCTCGGTTATCTCAGCTCGGATCTTAGTCAGCTTGGAGAGAGATGTGTCAAAGATTTTGGTGTGGGTGAGCTACCGTCGAGAAATATTAGCAGTGGAGCTCTGGCATCTATTAGTGAACATTATTAGTTGCACCATGTCACAGAGGACAGAGTAACCCTCGCGCCATATATTTGTCGTAAACACTGCCTGCTGAGATTTACCACCAGGTGTCATCCCACTGCTCCCTACACACATTAAAACCTTGTAAAGAGTGTCACACAGAACAGGTTTGTTCAAAGTCAGTTAGAGCATGAAATGAAATATAAACACCTCACTGCTTCATCACATAAGCCCCTGAACAGCAGCTGTCACACTTGTTTTTTGTTGAATTAAAACCTCATTGTGTGCTGTCTACAGGCCTGACGGACAAGTTGACAAGAGACGTCACTCATTCCACAGCAGCAGTCCCAAGAAAAGACTCCAGTTTACATCAACAGACAGAGAAGATGGTAACATATTTATACGTACAGATACAGTTTTTTAGAAAATTCAGTTAAGTACTGCTTTTTTGTTGTTTGACCAGATTTATTGCATTGTTTTGGTGCTGTACTCCTACCATAAACCAGTTTAAATGATACTGAATAACAGGGTGATTATTTATACTTCTTATCTTTTATTGTAAGAATGAATGGAGGATGACTCTTTTAATATGCGATGTAACAATAAAAATTGATGCTTGATTGATTTGAATTGATTTTCTGTTGGGCATTATTTATGTTAAGGTTTTGCTTTAGAGTGCGAGAAGGTACATTGTAATTAATTTGTTATATTAATTACACTAATCTTCACTACTTCTGTTATTGCTGTAGTAACACTTCAGTAACTTTCTTCTTTTTTCTTCTTTTTTTTTTTGCACACATAGCAGACAGTAGATCTAAAACAGTGACCAGTGAGTGTATTTACTGGGAGCATATTAATAATATCTTTTTTTCCTCTCTCTGCCAGAGTCCTCTGGTGGTGAAAACCCACAGGATGAAAACTCCCAGCTGGGTTGGGAGGAGCAGGGAGGCTTTAGTGGACCTGACCCGCAGAACCCCTGTGAAGACTCAGCCTCACTTGACAGAATCCAGTCACTGGCGGAGGCTGAGAAACTGTTTGACGAGTTGACGCAGGAGAAACAGCAGGTGAGAGTTCAAAGGCATGTCACAATATGCAGTAGTATCTGCTTTTTTATCAAATCAATGTATGTAAGTGGAACACTGGTGTCTTTTCAAAAATGGTGTAAAAAGGTAAACATGTGCGTGAAGTTTTCTGATGAGTCTGTAGGTGTGGGGGGGCTAGTGACTGGTATTTCTCAGTGTTATCCCATTAATGAACTGGTAACTAGTTAAGGGTGTACTTGGTTTTACCCTAAGATAATTTAGTCTCCCTGCCTCTAGATTGATGGTTATTAACAAAAAACAAACAAACACATGAGCGTAGTAACATTCCAAATTTTAGCTTCCCTTATAAGCTTGTTGGGACATGGCAAACATTGATATTAACAGCCTTTATCTCGCCACTCTACAACAAAGAGTACATGGGGGAACACACCCAGCACTGGGAGAACATGAAAACTCCACATAGAAAGTTCCCAGCAAGCCAGTGGATTCAAATCAGGACTTTCTTGCTGTCAAGCAACAGTGCTAACCACTGTGCCACCCTGTTTGCTGTCCAATTAACTAGAACACCTGTCCTTCTGCTTTGTTATTAGGATTTCCTCTTCCTCTCATTTTGGGCAGACTTTGTACTTATCTCTTTGATACACTTCCAAGTCATAGTGATTGTTTCATCACATTCTCCTGGTAATTACAAAAGGAAATTTGCAATTATTTTAAAAACCAGAATGTCCAGTAGTTACCTTTAAAGACCCTTGCATCTCTTGACACAGACCAGGATTCATTGTTTTTACAGAGCTGCTAAATGACTTGTATTTTTAGGAGGTTTATATCCGCCCAGTCCCCCTCCCTCCTGTCTCTACCTTGCTGACATGGGAATATTACTCTGCGTTACACATGAGTCCATTGAATGTGTTTCATGTGAGGGGTATTTAATTAATATCATTATTTTGGGTCATACATGATTAACCTCTGAATGTGTGATGTACAGATTGAGGCAGCTTTGAGCCGGATGCCTGGTGCAGGCGGCAGAGTGAGCCTACAGACCAGGTTAGATGAGGTAAGGCTCCACGGAAACCATCCAAATATTTATTATTATGTTTCTAGGATTTATTTATGGTGGTTGTTGTTAAGCAGATGGTGTTTAGATTCTTTATTACAATCTTTTTACTAACAAAATTTTGCAACCTGTCACTAGTTCTTAAATTTGAACATTTGTGTAATGCAAATCACATGATTTGAGGGGTTGGGGTTTTTTTAGGTTGTGGTTAAATAGAGTGTTTTCACAGTTTATGAGTTTAAAAGGCTAGGCTTACAATGTAAATCTGTGGATACCAGTCTACCACTTTGGTGCAGATAGTTCAGCCAGCTTATTGATACATTTTAGATTTAGCCACCAACTGCTAAATGTTGTTCAATACTTTGTTTTTTTATTTTAAAAAATAAAGACCCAGAAAACATTGCCATCAGTCTGAACTGTGTCGTATGCAGGGCTTTTTAACAAACGTTAACATACTGACACTTTAAATAAAACTGCTAAACCTCAACATGTTAGTATGGTAGTATGCTTTGTTAGCATTTCGCTCAAAGCTTACCACTGTGATTAGGTAGAGACTCTGAGCCGCTGTCAACCTTGTTCAGTAGATTCTGCTTTGTGGACCAAACCAAATGCATTAGCCAATTAGAATCATTGATTCTACTATAGGGCTGTTCGATATAATGATATGTTTCGGATGACAATATGAAAATGTCTATCATTTCATATTACACGATCGTTTGTTTTGTGGTGTCACAAACTGTTTATGGCAATACTTTTTCATTGTTTTGATGGTCACTGTAGTGGCTATATAATTTTTTTTTAAAGTTCTATCTTTCTCTTATATTTAAAATAACCACACTACAGATGGAAAAGCGACGTTTTTTATGCTTTGTCGTTAGCAACCACAATGGTAAAACATTATGCAACCAGTCCCAACCTCAGAATCAAACATGGCAACCCTCTTCTATCACCTACGCAAGAAATACGTGAAAGCGTATGGAGAGAGTTTACGGATGAGAAGCAAAAAAGAGCCGTCAGGTGCTCAAAATAAACCTTAGAACTTAGAAGAACTTAGAACGTTTATTGCCAATGTTCATTTGCTTGCACAATGAAATTACGAAAAAAGACCACAAAGGTGTGAAAGAAAAGAAAACAATATACAAGAAAGAAGAAGAAAAACAATATAAGAACACTATATACACAATGTTTGTGTTACAGGAAGCATTGTGGGGGTGTGCACAAGGCGTTGTAATAAAATATAATAAATAAGGGTAGAAGGCCTATGGTTGTTAAGGGATGGAAATTGCACATCTGCTGAAACATTGCAGAGGAAGAACAGAATATTGCATGGAAACAAAAAGACACACACACACACACACACACACACACACACACAGCAACATAATAAATAGCAAGTAGCAGCAACAGAGTGATTGTAAAAAAACTCTTAATTTGCATTTATTTTTCTGACTGCCCACGGGTAGAAGCTGTCCTTTAGTCTGTTGGTTTTGTACCTGATGGATCTGAACCTTATTCCAATTCAATTCAATTCAATTTTATTTATATAGCGCAAAATCACAACAAAAGTCGCCTCAAGGCGCTTCATAGATACAGAGAAAAACCCAACAATCATATGACCCCCTATGAGCAAAACCATGGCAAAAGTGGGAAGGAAAAACTCCCTTTTAACAGGAAGAAACCTCCGGCAGAACCAGGCTCAGGGAGGGGCAGCCATCTGCTGCGACCGTTTTCCAGAGGGCAGGATGTTGAATAGATGGTGGTTAGGATGGAGGTGGTCTTTTATAATTGCCCTGGCTCACGAGAGACATCTAGAGCTGGCAATGAAGACCAGGGTGAAGAGTGGTCAGCCGATCACCTTCTCTGCAGTTCTGATAACCCTCTGGGGTCTCTTCTTATCGGCTGTTGTGCAGCCAGCGTACCACACAGGGATGGCGTGCACCAGCACACTCTCGATTGTGGCATGGTAGAAGGACACTAGTAGGTCAGTCTGCAGCCTGTTCCATCTCAGAAATCTCGGGAAATGGAGGCCCTGCTGGGCTTTCTTCACCAGGGCTGATGTGTTAGTTGTCCAGGATAGGTCCTTGGAAATGTGGGTACCGAGGAACTTAAAGGAGGACACCCTCTCCACGTAGCCACCTTTTATGGAGAGGGGAGGGGGATCAGTTAAAATAGTTAAAAAAAATTCTGCTGGGACCTCCCAGACAGGTCAACATCCCTAGAGTTAATAAAATTGCTTAAATCAGATACTAATGTATTGAACCTGCTAACTTACTTTTGAAATGGCTGCCACTGAACTTTCTGCTCCACTTCCACCCTCAGGTGGCTTTAGAGAATCGTCTGGAGAGGCTGAACCGTGAGCTGGGATCCATCCGAATGACCCTGAAGAGATTCCACGTCCTCCGTTCCTCGACCAACATATAGCAATGTCTGTCTTCTTACTTTAGTATTGATTCTACAACTTAGTGTCTTGGTTTTATACACAGCACTGATTGTCCTCCCATCTTTTTCTGTGCCATAAGCCCATCTGTACAGTGACTCCACAGCATCTTTTTATACCTCTTACTTATTACTCGGGGATATTTTGTATATGTATGAGAGATATAGCAATTTTTTGGAGTATATTTTTTAGAAAAGCACAGATTTGTACAGTCGTTTACTTTTTTAGCCACAGAAATATCAATATTAATATTCTTTACTTGCCATATTCAGGAGTAGATTTTTAAATCGGCTCATGTTTTAGAGTAAATGTGAACAATCAAAACAAATGTTTCCAGCAAAGTCATTTATCCACTTTGGAACTATCACTGCCTTTCTTTTTCTTTTTTTTCTTTTTCTTTTGTTGTGGCTCTTTTGTTTTTTAAGTTTTGAATGTTTTTCCATTTGACATGTGTTAAGGTAATTTTCTTCAATTTGTTGCTTATTTATCTTTTGCTTTGGGCCAAACTTATTGATCTTGAAGGAAATATTTAATTGAGCCAAATCAGGGTTTTTTTGTGTGGCTTTCTTGCTTTATGTCTGTAAATTATTTTACAGTAATGGTCCATTCCAAAATCGAGTGAAACCAGCACACACACATTTCCACAGAGTCAAAACTCGAGTCAGCTGTTTTTCAATGATGCTTGTGCATGGAGGTTCTTGCACTGCTTCCTTGTTGTCCTGGTTTTCCTACAATGATATGAACTTCACTGGAAATGTAATATTGTTGCACAATAAATTATGCTTTTTGTTAAAAATAAACCAGTATTTCTCTTTGTTTATGCCTCATCATATGCATAGCCTAGTGGCTGTTATTCAATATTATTTACAAAATTTATCTCAAGGCACTTTATATTCTCAGGTAAAGAACTTACAATATTAGAGAGAGACTCTCCGTTGATCTCCATTGAGCATGCATTTGTTGATGGTGGGGAAAAAGAACTCACTTCTATGAGGAAGTGCTCAGTGTACTGTGGAAAGGCCCCTGGCAACCTAAACCTATAGCAGCACGATACATTTCAGGCTTCAAAGCTCGTGCATAATGGGGTGGCATCATGTGATGCTCAACGGAACTGTAGAGCTGTTGGTTCCAATGATTTGTGCCGCTTGTACTGAAAAGTTAAAATTTTCAGAGGCAGGAATCAGCCAATCAAATCAGATTTATTTACTCTAGTCAATCAAATCAGTTTATGATATCGTAAGAGAGTGAGGTAATTGCTCTAGAAGTTTACTGTCAAAGAGGAGATTCTGGCATTGAGGATTCACTCTATTTTGTATACAATGAATAACAGGCAGTAATTTAAGACTAATGAAAGATCGGTTAGCTTGCCTGATTAGATTGTTGTTGCTAGGATTACTGTATCTACAAAGCACCACCATCCCACAATTAAGCACTGAGGAAATGCCTATATGCCTCCCGAGTTTAACTAGGAGCATGGTCCACGCCATGGGGGCCTGACAGTCGTATACTCTGTGCCATTCATTCTCACTTTTGCAGGGTTCCTATGTCCTTAATTTCTGTCCTCCTTTTAATTTTCATCTATTTGCAGCATACTCACTGTGTCTAAACCCTATTCTTACACATCAGCTAAAATTTCATACTGTTAGTGATAAGAAGTGTGGGCACCAAGAAATATGTTGCTTTCTACCTGTGGCACACTTTGTATTTTACCATTTTGTAAAAGTCAAATATAAAATGATGTTCTAATACTGTCTGGATGAGAATACAGGGCTTCATATAAATACCCATATTTTCAAAACTGTGGTGTCCTAGTCCCCTTGTTCTTGGTCGATCTCGTGCCACTCCACTTAAGAAATCCTGGAAACGCCCCTGCTTACTTGAACACTCTTTCAGCAGTAATTTCGCAGCTGGCGCAGGTAACCCACTAGAGGACGCCTTTCTCCTCTGTTGCTCTGCAGAAAAATGTCCTGTTCTGTTATTACTATTTACCCGGCATGTTATCAGCAGCCACCGGCAGCACACTGCGCTGCAGCGGAAAGCCCGAACAGGATGGCCGGGTAGTCCGCTGTGGCGTTGACAGCAGCTTTGACAGGCGGAAACACACCGGGAATGAGCGCTGTTTGTGGGGGAAAATCAGCAGAACGAACACCGCTAACACTTCACTGTACAATATATGAAAGATAACGCTGTAAGCCGGCTTGTCTCCTCTGAAAATCCTCTGAAAAGTACGGAGATGTGCGCGATATGTTGTCTGCAGACAGACCGTGACTGCAGGTGAGCCGCCGATCGCCCTGATGCCGCAGTTGTTGACCGATTGTACGGTGTCACTGCTAATTAACGCTCCTATCTCTCATTAATTCCACTAATGGAGGCGATACAACGTTTAATTTAATTAATTTGTGGCAGCATTGATTTGGGCTGCAGAGGTCAGGTGGTGTCCGTCATAAGCAGTGCAAAACAGCTAAGCAGCATAGTCTACATATATTATGACGGTGGTGTGAGGGGAATGATGTTAGTCTGTCTACTGTGACAACTTGCATGACATAAGGGACACCTGTGGAGACACATGTAAAACGTTGTAAGAGCTGCCCCATGGCTGCTGTTGTGTTGTGGGTTGATCTCCTTCCATCTGCAGTCATTTTGTGTGTCTTCGTGACTATCTTTTTTCTCGATTGCATCTCTTTTTGGTCATTTTGTGTAGGTGCTTTGCATCTATCATCATCGTTATTTAGTGCGTTGCTGTGGTCATTTCCCTCTGTTTTTCTGTGTCTACTTGTCGTTGTTTTGCAGGTTTTTGTCTTCTTCTTCTTCTCTTATTAAATGCGTGATTGATTAGATGGTTTTGTGTTTTTTGTGCTTTGTTTTATGCGTTCTTGTAGGTGTTTAATCTCTGCAACAGTTTGTTGTTTCTTTGCACACCCTTTGCTTCTCATAGCTTTTACCTCTTTGGATTTGTTTTTGTTCTGTGTGTGTGTATATATATATAATATATATATTATCTCTGTGTGTATGTTTGTGTCTCTTTTTGCCTCCATGAAGCTTTTTGGAAGCTCTGATTTCTTTGCAGTGTTTTCCTTAGTTATTGTATCTCTATGTGTCTCTTTAACATCTTTTGTTACCTACTTTAATTGCTTTCTGTGTATTTCTCGCTGTTGGATAATTGGGCATTTTTGTCTATTTTCTTGCTAATCAGTGAATTATGATATATCTCTCTTTGGCTGTCTCTCTCTCACTCACATATACACCTTTACATTACACCTGTGAAAATGGAGAAAAATGGATAGATTAATGGAGGCCAGAGAATGTTTTTTTGGCCATGGCAGCAGCATAATGGTTCGAAACGTTTTTGGATTTCCAAAAAAGTTTTGAACTATTATGCTGCTGCCATGGACAAAAAAACCACAAACAAATAACCCATCTGCTTGTAATCACTCCTATCAGCAGATCCAATGCCAGATGCATACTGGTTATGGATGTGCTCGTCCTATTTCCTCCCATTTTAGGTTCATTTTGAATGATTTGAGTGTGTTTGTTAGTGTGTGTGTGGCAGGGAGTGAAAGAAGATGGAGCCTCAAAGGATTTGATTATCTAGCCAAAATGATTAGGTTTGCTTTAATGAATGCTGTTAGGAAGTAGCCACTGCAGAAAGAATGAGTCATATTATTGATTGCCACTTGCTCCTTCTCCTCCTCCCTCTCTCTCCCTGTCTTGTCGTCCATCCATTCACTCTTCCTTTCTCTTTTTCTTTATGTCATCTCTAGATATTCACATTATCACTTCCTTTTTTTCTTGTCATGTTCTCCTCCTCTGTTTTAATTATTCGTTTCTTTCAAAGGATATGCCACATTCCCTCCCTGTCCTATGTCTACAAAGATTTAATGTGAAGTGTCATGTAGCCAGAGTGACAGTTGCATACCAGTAAGGTGGGAAGAGAGTGGCTGGGGAGTCTTGGAAGAAGGGGGAGGCTGGATGGGGGTCTTGTCACAAGATGCCACGTCATCACAGTGTGTGAAATCTATTTTTAGCAGCGTAAACAGAGGGATTCCAGCCCACTGATCATGGCTTTGCAGTCAGGGCTTTGATGTGGGAGACTGCCAGAGCGTGAGATGCTGGATCTGAATGAACGACACCTGTATTAAGCCCTTTTTGTCTGCCTCCACCGTCACTCCCCTCCCCTCCCATCACCTCGGCCTGTCATAATGAACACTGCACCACAAATAGACCAACAATTCTTCTGGCTACTTTTGCAACACTGTTTTGCTTTACATGCATTCACATGCAACATCCTTTATGTTTTCGACTGAAAAATCTGTCTCAGTTTTTTTTTCAGCACTACAATCAGTGATGAATCTACCATCACTTGCTTCCATTTTTGTGCACACACACTCAAGCCCAGGGATTATACGAGCACACAGTTGCCAATATCCCTGGCTGTTTTGTAACTAACTATGTTGTCTGGCATGGATTTATCAGTTTCTTTGCCTTGCAGAACCATAAAAGTACAAACATAAAGAAACAATCCAAATGCATTTGATTTTTATTACCAGGAACACAGTAAAGTGTTTTGCCAAACAACACTAGAGACAAGCTGAGGGACAGAAACCAATGAATAAATTGGACATAAAATAATATAGAACCAGTTGCTACTTTATTAACAAATAAACATGTGGTATTATACCATTACAGAAGCCATTTTAGTTTTGATTTTAGTTTTTTTAGTTTACTAAAGTCATGCTGGTGAAATGTGAGGACTTTTACTCAGAACTATTTCTGTATTCTGGTGTTAGTATTTCACTGACATAAAAAAAACCCCTATTATTACACAGCTGACACAAACACACATATAGGAAATATTCAAAGTAGCCTGACATTGTTAGGGTTTACAGTGAATTGATGGTTCCCTGAACACATCTGAGACCATGTTGGCAGGCTAGAGAGGGGGGATTGTTCTGGGAATTGAAAGCACTCAGACTAATTAACAGTCCCCCAGCTTTGTTCAGATCTAGTGAGGCGTTATGTCCTCGTTAAATATTCACACAGGTTCAGGGGTACGAATGAGACACAGAAAAATCAATAGATTTTCAATACACTCTGCTACTTAGTTAAGAGTAGTCTCTGTGAATCAGTTTTCTCAAAGCATACAATGAACATTCTGTTTTGCATTTGGCATAAATAAGGATTGCAAGACAGAATTATGGGGTGGCTGTAGCTCAGGTGGTAGAGCAGGTCATCTACTGATCGGAAGGTTGGTGGTTTAATTCCTGGCTCCCCCAGTCTGCATGCCTTGGGCAAGATGCTAACCCCTCACTTGCTCTCCAATGCACTGAGGAAGCATAGGGTGTGTATTTGTATGGATGAGTGTGGCGTATTGTGTAGAGTGCTTTGAGTACTCCAGGAGAGTAGAAAAGCGCTATATAAGAATCAGTCCATTTACCAATTACAGCTGTTTTGTTATATAGATTGAAATTTATTTTTACTGTTCTGTCTTATTTTCCTTTGGCCTTTTATCTCCTTAAATCTTCCTGTTGTAATAAATGCCTGTTACTACTTGGATGAGGTTGTTAGACCAACTAAACACCAAGAAAAATAATTCCCTATCCAAGGTGCCTTGGTGCCTTTAGGGTGATCCTGTGGGTTCCATGATTGTGGATACAAAAGAAGGCTTTTACCACCTGGTTGGACTAGATGAAAAGTTGGAAGTAACATCTGGAGCTGAACAAAAGCAAATGCACAACTGGCAAGAACTGCAGTTCCTCTAGCAGCCACTAGAGGCTGACTCGAAAAGGGAGTTGATTGGC